AGTGATTTCTGTAAGAAGTATTCAAATTATGTTTATGAACAGCTATTTGACACCCCGATGAACATTATTGGTTTCAAAAGATCCGGTGAACTTATTGCTATCTTTGTGGAGTGTTAATGTGGTATAATCCATATCAGGATTTCATGCATGACTGAAAACCTCCGGAAGAGTTTGTGTAGGATTGTGAAACTCCTCAAGAGAATCTCTCCAGTATTGCAAAGTTTTCTCAGAGAGAAAGTGCATATTTTTGCAATAATTCTAACATGAGTAGATGTCCTTGAGGAAGTGGAGAAGACTTTGAGGATAATTAAAGAAACATCCCAGTTCTTCCCAGAGGTTGAAATATTTGTAAGCTGCTATGTCTGTATAATTATAATTGCAAGTAATCTCAGGAAATTAAAATTGATTAATTTGTTAAAATTGATTGTGCAATTGATTGGGAACTCCTTCAGTCAATATTCTGCCTCTCTGAGACTTTTGGGTTAATCCCTTTGACCCAAACTAAATGTTACAGAGAATGTGTGGATGTTGCTGACATGTTCCTCTGTGATATGATGGCAACACAGTGATAGTTTTCCTGCCTCTATTCTACTTTATGTAAGGGATAGGGAGACCCCAAATATAATCATGTCCTATCATGTGCCGTCAAAGATGTGGAATGGCTGCAACCATAGATCTCATTTGGACCTTAGTTTGTCCTCGGAGTCAATAAAGTCGAGGTATGTATATGTTCATTCCATATTATCCTTGTCTCTTCCCCTACTTTCCATGGTGTTTCTTGTTTACCCTTGCCTGTTCCCACCCCCTCCCTCTGGAAACATTTGTTACTCTTGAAATTTAATTTCCGTGCTCTTGAATTTTGGAATGGGTTATTCCTCAATGGCTTAGTTAGGATTGAAGGGTTCAAATCTCATCAGTGTATGTTGCAAGCCATGATTTTTCCTTCTTCTTCACTGATATTTTCTTGAAATGGTATTGAATCTTGTTTGCCAGTTTGTTGCCCCATCACCCAGTTTGGAGAGATGTGTTGGACTCCTTCACAATCTGCTTCAGCTTTTATTATCGTGAATGATTTGGTGTCATCCATAAAGTTGTCCATGTCTCTATTCATTCCTAATACCAGATCACTTATGAGGAGGACTCAATGGGAGACTTAAGAGACTTACTTAATATTCTCTCCACTGTAAGAACTTTCCATTTACTCCTACACTATGTTTAACAACTTACTGACCCTTAAGAAAACCCATCTTCTTAACTTACGATCACCAAGTTTACTTAGAAGACTTTGGTGATTAATGTTTATCCATACTTTTTGGAAAATCAGACATATAGGACATTAAAAGGGAGCACTAGATCTCTGTTTACACAGTTATGCTGGGGGTGTACAATCAAAAGAACACTTACGGTTTATTCAGACATACAGGAAACACATGCGGCATGTCGGTGGCCCCCAAAGGGACTACTAAGATGGAGTCTGTGCAAGATGCTTTGATAACCTATCCCTTACGTGCACCATTTGTGGGAGGGTGGAGGATCAGGGAGGCAGTTTGTTCAATGAACACAAGAGTCAAACAAAAAGCGTTGAATGGATTAAGACAAACCACACCAAAGGAAGAATTTTCAGGAAAGGTGTGCATTACTATATGTAAAGTACGCCTGACCTGCAGCATGGTTTCATGCTGCTCAGCAGCCTGCCTTAAGTCTAAAGCTGCTCTTACAGTGTCAGGCTTTCAGCAGCCCTTTCATGGCAGAGCTTTTGCTCATTTTTCCCTGGCAAGCAGCAAGTGCCTCTCTGGCCAACCAGTCTCCATGGCTGAGTCACCACCCTTGCATCACATGAACAGGGCTGCTCTCTTTTGGCTGTTTTTGTTTTCTTTCTCTGCCTTGACATCATCCTCAGCATTTGGCTGGGGGTAAGAACACTGCATGTCCCCGATTCCTCTTCAATCTGGTAAAACCACCTATAGCAATTCTACGGAGAAGTTTGTTCTTTGTTTTCTGGAAGTTTCATTTATTTCTGAGTTTTAGTTTTATTTGGTTCCGTACCCTCTTTGACACAGAAAACATTCTTCTCTCCCACCCAAAAATAAGCCATCTCTAACTCTCTCCATTCCACCTGGTTTTAAGTAGATCTAGCTTCTCATTAAGCACCATGCATTCCATCAAGCTGGCTTGGAGGCTTCCAGAAGTGCCAAATAAGCATTGCCATATACATCGATCCCTCCCTGTGTAAATGTCCTTAATAGCTGCATTGCTCTGTGACAGTCTTGGAAGTAAAATTGGTTCAGGTGCTGGTGCTATTTCTGAGCAAACTTACTTAGGATTGTGCTTTAAGGAACCTGGAGGCAGAATGTACAATACATTATTAAATGAAATAAACCAATGTGGTCAGATCCTAGCAGTTAATGCATTATTAAACGTATGTACAGCAACAATCAGAGGCTTAAACAAAATGAATACAGAAGTAATAGTATTCTCCAGAATTTTAGTACCTCAGCTTTCCAATACAATCAACCCTTATTAATAGCAACAATATATATCGAGTCTGGAATTTATTAAAGGACAAGGTGCTCTTTCCAAAAGCAGTTTGAACACTAGCAATATGAACAGCACAGTCTGCCAAACTATCCAAAAGTTCTGTACTTTGAACTCCTGACATTAACCATGTATAAATTCCACTTTTTAAAATGATGCCACCTTCTATAGAAAGGATTTTTACAAAATTATGATCTTGCAAAGGAGCACAATAATTTTAGCCTTATTATTTTTTTGGTCAACTTAACCGAGAACTTAACTAGCAGTTAACTTCCAGTTTTTAATATCAAACCATTAGAACAAGGGTGCAGAACCTCATTATGCCAGATGGGTGAATTCCATTTCAGAGAAATTGTCAGGGGCTGGGAATTCCAGTAGTAGGCTGGCCTGGACTTTTAACTTAAAGCTCTTCCTCACTGTAACTAAATCTTAGGAGAGGCATTTTATGCTTTTAGTCTGATGAGAAAACTGCACAAAAGCCAGAAAACTATCACATGATTGGGGGCTTGGGAGACAGGAGGTGGGGCCTTCAGACTGGCAATGGCCCTGAAGTTCTTCACTTCGTATACAGTTATGATAACAATGTACTTGGATAAGCTTACAATTTCACCAAATAGTTGTAAAAATTAATGTATTAGCAGTCTGTTAATATTTATTGATAGTGAATAGTTCAGTAAATGATGCAGCTAGATATCTCTTTCCTGCCAGTAATTGCTATCAACTTGAAAACACAAATCCCATATATATTTTTAACAACCTAAGCCTACACATGTCTGCTCAAAGCTATGCACCATTGAGGCTTAATTCCAGATAAATGTCTATAAGATTGCATTCCTTCTTACCTGGTCAATTTACTTTGAATTATATAAAAAAAAGTAATTTATTGGATTTTTACAGACCAATTTCTTTTTTGAATAACTCTGCTAACGATTTTTCACTCACATCACCTTGCCACATTCTGTGCCATTATTTTAATATAGCAGTTGTGTTGACCATTCATAAAGCACAGCAAGTTGTGTTAGGACCATACATTGGACCTTGCAACGTTCTATAAATAGAGTTTCGCCACTTTTCAATGGCTTTTGGATATCTTCGTAAACCATGTTAAAAATTCTTACTCAGTGCATAATACATGTTGTAGTCCATGTAGTCGCTTGGTACATTCATTCTTACCAGGCTCTGATAATTCTACATTCAAAAGTGCATGTTTCCAAGATGCTTCTGCTGAAATTCCAAAGTGTATATAGACTAGTATCCTTCATGAGGAAATCTGACTTTGAAAGGAAGGAATGTTCACCACTGGGTTAAATACCAACTTGGTTATGGGCCTCCTAGAAACCTGGGGAAAATCGCTTTCAAACTGTTCCTCATCTGAGAAATGGGTGCAACTGTGATTCATATTGCAGGGTTGCTTATGAATGGTTCAAGTAAAATCTGTCAGAGATCTCAGTAGAATATTGTCTCCCCTGATTGGAAAATATTTTCCACATTAAAACTGGTGTTAATAACAGAATAATAATGGATTGTATCTAAACAGTGAGTTGCACTGAGATCTCATTGAAATCAAATGAAATGCAAGTTGTTATGATTATTTTTACACTGAATTCAACTGCAACTAATTTAATATGGATCCATCCTTAACAGCAATACTAATATAGATTTGTAATGTGGTGTACTGGTATAGCCTGCTTAAGGCAATAATCCTGCAAACATTTCCAGTTGATTTCAGTGAAACATGTTCACCAAGTCTTAAAGCTGTATTATGTACTAGCAAAGAAATGCTTAGGACAGGCTTATTAATGAAAACATTAGTGGCACCTCAAAAACTGTTGCCTGAGATACTGCAGGATCTCATTTTCAGGATACAGTCTGGAACGAATCAAAATGAACAGCCAAATTCAAATAGAATTGAAAGATTGCACAAGATCAAGCAAAGGATTATTAAATTCTTGATTCTAATGGCAGAATTAAGTGGTTATTTAAATTATGTTGCCTCTTATACCAACAGGTCTTAAAAATGTTTCATTTTGGTTGAATCACATCCAAGTATATACATTGCTTTTTTAAAATGCTCTTAGTATTGCATCTATCTAGTTCCTTAATATTAAAAACGTTAAATAAAAACAGATATCTTTTTAGTGGTATATAATCTTAGGCATGTCATACATTCTGAGCATACGAACAAGCTAGCTAAATGAGGTAGAGCTTCAATTACACTATTTTTGAACTTTAAGATAAACCAACTGCCTTGACAAGACTTTATGTAAAACAATACAAAATCCATTTTGTATTTTCTGGTGAATAAATCATACTGAGAAAGTATAAGCTAAACATCTATTGAAGACATTCTGTGGGAAGAAAATATGACGATCTCCCCTCATAGGTGCTGTTACAGCAATGGAATCCCTTTGCTCAATATTATCCTGTCCAATGAGGTGGAATGTTTCACAGGCACATGGTTTATGTGTCTCAAAATAACTTGGGACCTGCAAACTGACAAATGCTATTGCTTCAGTGGTGACAGGTTGTCCAGCTTCTTACAGCCCATCTTCCTTTAAAACGAAGGTTAACGCCTTTTTTTGCCTGATGGACTCCGTGTCGTTTTGGTTCCAACAGACCTGAAGGAGTACCATTGCTTCGGTCATTTTCTCTCTCCTACTTAGGAACCGTTGTCATTGTGATTGTGTGCTAGAGTTGGATTTCAACATCTGGACGAATTAGAAAAGGTAACATCTTTAACTTCAAGAATGGCTGTGCTTTGATGACATGGCACAAATGCAGAGAGGGTCTGGGGGACCATGTTATGTCTGAATGCTAATTATTGCTGATAAATCATGTTAGGGACGCAAGTCACTTTTTAAACTGTCTGGCTTAAATTACACCAAGGCACACAAGATTAAAGAGAAATGGAATGATCTTTAGAATCTTAAAGAGCGTTTGGCGGGCTGGAGGATGTCCCAAATTCTTTTCATGTATGTTTAAGTATTTTGAGTAGTCAACAGAAAGCAGAAATGTATAAATTGCATGGATAAGAAATTTTCCTTTTCATTCTGCTTTTTATCAGAAGTTGTAAGTATTGCTTTATATTCTCCAGTATTAACATCACACAAATAGTTTACACTACCTCCTTAAAGAAAAAACATAGTGTAGTTTAATATTCCTCCCTATCTAAAGGCATTCTTTTTAATGTTGTGTATGTGTGTGTGTGTGTGTGTGTGTGTGTGTGTGAGTGAGAGAGAGAGAGAGAGAGAGAGAGAGAGAGAGAGAGAGAGAGAGAGAGAATGTGTCATGTAAAATGATACTGCTGGCTATATTTAGGGTTTGAAGATCTGCTCTGTGGATTAATGTACACAACAGCTGCAGAAACAGCCTTGCTGGAAGGGCATTGCTGTTTCAACCCCCCATCCTTATCGCTCTCACTCTCTCTCCCTCTCTCTGCAAAAAAATATGTTTTTGACTGTCAGTGGCAAATGTTTGGCCTACTGTATTGCAACATTAAGCAGTAATCGAAAGAGCATCATAAGTTATTATAAAGAAATGAAGAATGTAGAAGAGAAATTCAGAAAAGTCTTAGGTTATATAAACCACATGGCAATTTATTCATACAAATGTTATTCTCTTAAAATAAGCTTTGAAAAAGAAATTCCTTGATCTGGGGGGAAAAAACCCCAAGAAATGACAAAAGAAAGAGAGCGGTGTGGTGGGGAGAGGTCGCGGGGTGGGAGGGGAGAGAGCAATGCAGGCTATAAACTTTTCAAACCTTTCCATTAAAAAACCATATCGAAAATAATCCACAGTGGCTAAGGGTATTCTGTTTGCTATCTACCTTCATGAGAATTTTCAGAAATAAAATACTTAAAACTATGGTTGCTACACTGAAGAGGCGTTTTTCAAGAGCTTTCCCGTGTTTTACTAATTTGCAGAATAACTACCTAGAAGACTACACCTCTATTTTAGGAGCAAACTAACAGAATACGTAATATGCCTTGAAATATTGAGCATAGTCAATGTTAGTATAAACTTGTTCCATTCATTTCAGTGCAACTACTCTAAGTAGGATGCAATTCAATCAATTTGAAGTATTGCACTTGGAATATGAACTGGTTGTTCCATCATAGGTCAGCAGCACTGGATGAGCTGACATTCTGGCACTTCGGTTTAACTGTGTTCGTAGGTGAGGTGCTATTAATGTACATGCTTATTCAGAATATTCCAATGTGTAACATTCTGAAGTGAATCATAATAGTCCACCATTATGCTGTCTAAATGCTGAGATATTTAAAAGCATAGTTTACCAATATGGAACGGAAAAATGTTTGTTAATATGTTAAAATGCACTTTATGATATTTAGAATGGCTCTCAAATGAATGCTGGAGTGTTAGCCATTTAGAAATGCACTAACATGTGAATCCATTTAACGCAAAATCAGTATACAACAGTCTGATTTGCTTCTCAAATGTATAAAGATTACAACTCTGGAATCGTTTGCTCACCCATAGATCCGAAAAAATCCATGAACATTCATCTTCTTTCTGATTGTTAGTTGCAATTTATATTCAAAAGTAGGTTTCAGAGAAGTCAATGGAATCTTATGGAAGTAAATTAATTTCAAAGTGTGTGTATGCAGTATAGCAGTTAATTTAAATAAGTTATAATAAAGTAATATAATACAATATTGATTCTTCAAGGCATGTTCATGGCAAAAATGATAAATTCCCCTCTTGGTAAAAAAAAGCTTCATTTTCAAAAAAATAAAATGTTGAAACCAAATCTCATGAAAGACAGCAAGGCTGTGAATCATCTCATATCTGCCGCACCACCGTGTCCCCCAAAACACCCACACACATGCACACACAAACAGGAGCACCAACGTGTTTCTAATATGTCAAACCTCATTAATGCTAATTGCTCCTCCTCACTGCTAAACAGATGGTGAACTGAATTTTGACATCACATCTAGCCAGGGAGTCCCCACCCTTAAGTTTGTGCTGGTACGTGCACAGTTGTAACAGAACAGAATGTAGCATGGCGTGGAATAATATTAAAAAAAAAACGATATAAAAATAGAGCTTGCTTTGTGTTTAGCAGCCCCCAAACAACCCTTAATCATATGTACCAGATAGAAGTGCATAGAACACACTTCAGCTTCTAAGAAATTTAACTGCTGTGGAATGTAGCATGACCCATATTTGGGGTCAGTTAAAACCTTGCTTCCAATGCAAGTGTTTCGACTCCCCCCACCCCCACCAGTATATAATTTGAGCTCAGTTCCTTAAGGCTTAGCCCCTCAACCTGTTTTCCAGACTAGAGGGGTAAGACTTTTGGAAACATGTTACACAAAGTAATAGTGCATATCTGCTTTGACAGGATTGCTAACTTAAAACAATCTCCAATTCCCTCAATGCAGTTACTTTGGATATAGCTTTTGCTATTCTAAAGGGACATACTGAACAGAATCTATCTGCCTAATCTAACTGCTTGTGGAGAACAGAAGCTAACTGCTTATTCTAGTGGTCGGAACAAATTTATCTGCCAGTTAGTTATGGACAGGTAACTTTCACAGGCAGGAAAAAATAGATGGACATGGACACGGCTTCAGTGTTTAATCTGAAATAAGAATGATCCACATCACATCTCAACATTTTAAAAACAAAATAACTCTGAAGTGCAGATGTTCGGCATCCCTTAGCAGGCATGGCAAGTTTCAGGTGCTTAGATTTTATGGTCTTGGTGATATAAGAAAAGAAAAAAAACATCTTTTTTATTATAGATAATATAGTTTTATATATATAAATGTTCCTGGACATATATATTTCTTAGAACTTTAGAATTATTTGCTAGTCACCTGTACATTACAAAATTGAAAAATAAGTTTAAGAAGAAAGTAGTTACCTGCAGATTAACATGTGGCCACCATTCTGAAATGCAAATTTGAAGGTATTGCCCTGTTTCGAATTTGGAAGATTTTGGATATGTAAATCAGCTATCATATTTGAGTGGAAAACACTTTCAGGTGTTTCTGTTGCTATTTTGCCCATGTTCAGTGAAATAATGTATATCAAGAAGAAGAAACAAGAACAAAACAAAACAAATAATAAATATTTGGAAGGGCCTGTTGAAAATCCATCCATTATACCAATAGCCAAAGCTGTCTGGGCAATTCACAACAATCAATCAACACTGTACAATAATTAAACAGATGCAATACAGTACGGTATAAAATTCCAATATAAAATTTAAAGCAGTTTAGAGAATTAGTTTTAATATCCTAGAAAGTTAATATCCTAAGATTAAGATTGGCTGGAGCCAGCAAGTGCAAGTTATCTTTGAGACAAGTAAGTTACTGTAGAAGACAAGTAATATCTCCAAGGACACCAGAAGGATAAATATAGTACTTTCCCTGCTGGAAAAAGAGGAAGATCCTAACCTATTGGGTTCCATATGACATTCTTCTTAGCATTCCACGATCTGTATAAGGGCAAGAATTTTATTAGGGCAACCAAAATGTGGCAAAAAGTGTGCAAGCTTCCAAGTTACACAGGATACTTTACCAGGAGGGATGGTGAGAAAAGCAGGAGGAAAATGTAGCTGGTAGTGAAGCCGTGGGATCTGCATTGAATGCTAGTTTTCACATGGAATGTGGAAGGCAGCAACACCTATTAAAATTAGGCTCTGCTAGATGTTGAGATCATTTCAAGTAGCTTCTAGCACTGTCCCCAGCACTGTCAAGAGATGGGACAAGAGATGGTTGATTCCCGTTTTTGAAAATGCAAAATACGGATGTTTATAAATATGTTTTTTAAAAAGGGAGACTGGCATTCTGCAATGTAAAGCACTGACCTCCGCAACCATAATTATACTGAAAATGGTTTGGGCCCCATGTGGCTTTCTTGGGTCTCTGAGCCTTATTGATTTGGGAACTCTAGTCCTGCCTCTGCCCTGTACTTGTTCTTAGCTATGCTACTTTTCTTTTATCCACAGCAGTTTGCCTTCTAGGAAATGGGTGCCAACCATGGCAGCCATTTTGTGAATGGCCATCCATACGACCCTGGCATGCTCAACATTCCAACTGTGTCCCTGACCAAAAGGTTCATGGACCTCTGAGTTAAGTCAGTTTTTACATTAACAAAGCTAGAGATGTTTTAGGTGGCATACTTAGATAGAAGAGTGCCAATGAAAGCCAAATTGTAGTTGGATGGTGTGTACCCTTGCAGAACAAAGTCCCATCTTTAGATTGTATAATAGCCTCTTTTTTAGACTGTAGGAGCCCTCAGTAGAACAATTAAATGTGCTATTCTTCAAGTCGCACAAAAAGTAAAGATACCCACGCTGGCAAAGCTACTACTGCTTTTGCTGTCTTCTGGATATGTAATAGGTGGGTTTAATGGAGCTTTCTTCAAGGACCATGAGATGCATTCATTTAGCACCTGGTGGTCAAGCAATGACAGCTTATCACGTGTCCGTAGACTATAGCCCCATCATACAGAGCACACCCTACCACTTGAAAGACATAGTATACATTCTCCACTTCTGATTTAACACAGTAATATGGGGATCTCTCCTGAAGGTATGGGCATACTTTGCAAGTTCTTGAAAGTTAAGAATATTTGAGTCCCATAGATTGAAATGGGAAAGTTAAGCTTGGAGCTGTTATAGTAATAAGTAGGATAAGAAATGCTTTACTCTAGCTGGATTGTCTCAAGTCATTATTCTTTGTAAGAGCAC